AGATTCCTCCCAGCATCTTCAGGAGGGATCTGTGAGCAGAGTCAGGAGTAAGTGTACAGTAAGGCATGGTTTCTCTCTGATCAAACTGAACCTAACCCTATGAGCAGAATCCTATTATTATACTGAAGTTCAGAGAGACTCACTTGGCTAAAATCTCTTAGAAAGCAGTAGAGGGGCAGGAGAGGTAATAGAGTGGACAAGGAACTTGCCTTGCATGCATTCAATCTGGGTTCTATCCTTAGTACATCATTTACTTCCTCCGTATTGACGTAGGCAGGCAGGCAGATAGGAAAGGCCCCTCCCAAATCAATGGCAGTAAATATCCTGGAAAGTAATAGCCCTGATCTCATAGGAGAACTGGTGCCAGTCTGTAATAGACCCTGAGGAGGCTGGACCAACTTCCTCCCACAGAATCTCCTGCAGAAACAAAAGGCCAGGAAGGGAATTTCAAAGAAGACCATCACCACTCCCAACACTCTTGGTAACCTCCCTGGCAATGGACTTTTACCTAGGTAGAAGCCCCACGAGGGGGTAGGTTGGAGAAACCCTATAAAGGTCACCTTGAACAAAGGAAGGGCGCCCATGTGCTGCTTCTCCCTATGTGGCCGAGCACATGTGGTGCCCGAGCACATGTGTTGCCCATATCTCTCCTTTTGAGATGTGTACTTTCATGCTTTCATGTCTAATGCTGGAATGTGTGTAGGCGCTCTCTCCACCCTTGGAGAAGCCCGGGTTCTCTCTTGAGCATGCTACTCTCCACTCTCTCCCACTTTCTCTCCCTCCTTCCCTTTAAAACCTCCAAATAAAAACTGTAATTTCATTGCTCGTCTACTCCTGAAATTTCTTTCTGCAAGATGAGACAAGAACCCAGTAACACTGGTTCCCAGGTGGCAGAGGCGGATCAGGACAAAGTGACCGTTTTTCTCCTCCCCACTTCACATGAGCCATCCGTGGGGCTCACCGACATCAGTATGCCAGGAGTGATTCCCTGATTTCAGAGACAGGAGTAAATCCTGAGTACAGCTGGGTGTGTGCCACAACAAAACAAAACCAAAATGGAAAACAATCAACCAACCAACCAACAATAACAAAAAGTAAACCAAGAGAAAGCAGTAGAGAAAGGGTCTGAACTGGAACTAGGGTTCTAGAGCCTGTTTACATCAGGGCAGGTTCCCTGAAAGAATCCTGTTGGAGGAACATGTGGGACACTAGAGGGTCAGAACTCTTCTTTCTCGAAATGTTGTTTGCATATGACATCAGGAACTGCATATGACTCAGTCAATCAATGTGCAACCATAATAGTAGTCACAGCTAATTACAACAGAGAGAATGACAGAAGGCACTTAAGATTTTGAAGAAATGAATGATCTAATCCCAGAACTTCTCTCGGATAATTCTTTTCATGTGAGATAATAATTCCAACAGTGTTGAATTTTCTTTACTTGGGCCTTTCATTAATCATAGTAAAGACCTCTCTGATACCATACAAGCATAAATTCTATCAGAGATAGCCCATCCTTTTAAGAGACCAATTCTTTGCACATGTACAAGATTTTCAATCAACATGATTGAAATGTCTTGAACGCCTTCCATAAGCCAAATACAGAAGAAATTGTTGAGTCCAACACATTGGGAAGGGCAAGTTTCTGCATCATCAGTGGTTCCAATCTGTTCACTTGATCACTTGATACCCTGTTATTTGTTGATTTACTCGAGCGGGTGCCAGTAACGTCTCCATTCATCCCTGTGGCGTGCTAGCGTAGCCCAATGGCATCTGCTCGTTCCAGGAACATGCAGAGCCTCAAACCGATTATTCAGGGACTTGACGAAGAAGTCTGACGATCTTGTAGGTGGGCGTCCACACAATCTTTTGACATCCCGTGGAATCCAGTCAGTAATGGCTCTAGTCCAGCGGTCATCTGTAAATCTCATTGTGTCCAGCCCATCTGATTTTTGATGCCTTGGCAAATGAGACAGCGTCCCTGATTCTTGAGCATTGACAGAGATCAGAACTCTGGATTCTATCTCTCATTTGAGTGAAGCGTGATACTCCAAGCATAGCTCTTCCGATTCCTCTTTGAGAGATCCGAATAGCGTTCTCATCCTGTTTTCGTAGGGCCCAGGTCTCTGAGGCATATGTTAATGCAGGAAGAACAGTGGAATCAAAGAGATGTCTCGGAGCTGGAGTTTCTTTGTCCTCTTAGTTATTTCTTCAATGCTCTTGAAGGCATTGCAAGCCGCTGTCTTCTTCCTGCGTAACTCAGGTGCCAGGTCATTCATCATGTTGATTTCTCGACCTAGGTATATATAACTGTTGCGTTCGGAGATGGTGGTTCCGTTGAGAGTGAATGGAGCATCAGGAACAAGACTGTTTCTCATGAACATTGTGTTTTTGAGATTCAGTTGTAATCCAACCTTTCCACACTCACGGTTGAAGTCAGTCAGCATTTGTGCCGCTTGGCTGATGTTTGGTGTTACTAGAACGATGTCATCAGCAAAGCGGAGGTGGTGTAGTTGCCGACCATCTATCTTCACTCCCATTCCTTCCCATTCCAGTCGTCGCATGATGTTCTCGAGGGTGGCACTGAAGAGTTTCGGTGAAATGGTATCACCCTGCTGAACCCCTCTCTTGACATGGATGATTACTTCTTTGTAGAATGGTGAGATCCTGGTAGCGAATCCATAATAGAGCTCACAGAGGATCCTGATGTATTGAGTTTGAATGCCCTGATTGGCTAGGGCTTAAATGACTGCTTCCATTTTGACAGAATCAAAGGCCTTCTTTAAATCAATGAACGTTAGACAGAGCGGCATCTTGAACTCCTGAGAAACCTCAATGAGCTTAGTTATCGTGTAGATATGGTCGATGGTACTGAATCCTTTTCGGAACCTGACTTGTTCACATGGTTGTCCTTCATCCAGTGTTCTGCCAATCCTATTCAGGATGACTCGAGTGAACAGTTTGTAGATGACAGACAATAGGCAGATTGGGCAATAGTTGCCAATGTCGTGGATGTCTCCCTTCTTGTATAGTAGTACAGCCCTCCTGGTTTTCCATTGGGATGGAAACTTGCATTCAGACAGGCAGCGTGTGAAGAGCCGATCCAGTGTATTGATGAGTACTGATGGTAAGTCCTTCAGGTGTTCAGGTTAATATATAAAATTGGAGGCACTGAAGGCATAGCGATCGCGCAGAGTACTCGAGTTATGCTGTGCATGTGGGAGGCCCAGGTTCTATCCTTGGCACTGTATCAGCTCCTGAGCACCACCAGAGCGTGCATTGAGTACGGAGCCACTCTGGAGTTATGCCTGAGTACTGCAGTGTGTAGCTCCCAAATCCAATAAATAAAAATCAATATATGAAAGTGGAGGCAGGCATATGTAGGGAAAGTAATATGAGGAATAATAATCAAAAGTGGAAACAGAATATTCAAGGATGTGACATGGGGAATAGCACTGAAGCACTGTCCTTTGTTCATTGATTTGCTGGAGCAGGCACCAGGAACATCTCCATTGTGAGACTTGTTACTATTTTGAATATGCCATGGGGAGCTTGCCAGGCTCTGCCCTGCGGGAATGATACTCTCCGTACCTTGCCTCTCAGAATGGAACCCGGGTAAGACAAATGCCCTACCCGCTGTGCTATTGCTCCAGCCCATGGGAATAATCTAGCATTATTATAATCTAAAGAAGAGTATCTACATCAGATTCAAATAATGAATACTGTATCAGTCTCTGTAATTTAATTTGTACAGGAACAGGGTTATGCATATGAAAGTGTTGAATGTTTATTTAGGTAATTTTATAACAAAATAATTGAAATTAATATTGACTACTAAAATAGACTATTGAAATAGACTATTTTTCCCTTTCAAAGTGAAATAATATAATAAAGTATAAAGGCCCTCCCGTTGATCATCGATTTGCTCGAGCGGGCCCAGTAACGTCTCCATTGGAGACGTTGTTGTTACTGTGTCTGGCATATCGAATACTCTCGGTAGCTTGCCGGGCTCTCCGAGAGGGGCGGAGGAATCGAACTCGGGTCGGCCATGTTGGCTGCGTGCAAGGCAGACGCCCTACCCGCTGTGCTATCGCTCCAGCCCCCGATGCCAATATTTCTCCAGGAGGAGCAAATTAAAGTTAGAGATTAAAAGACAAGGAAGGGCGCCAAGATTGCTGGCAACCTCCTGATTTGTATTCCATAATTTGTAAAATGAGTCAAAAGGAGTTGCAATGAAATAGTCTTGAGTCACTAAATAAGGGATAAAAATTGTAAAGACTTTGTGTCGTTACGAAAAAATCCAGAAATTATCCACAGGCAAAGAGCAAAAGGTAGGGTGGCGGGCACAGGACAGGACACGCCTGTCCTTGTTAGAAGGCAGTGAAGGGAACAGCCAGAAAAGCAGGGGACACGCGCACAGCAGGAAACAGCGCAGCGCACATCACCGCCGCCACGGGGTCAATACGATGACCGAGTAAACACCCAGAAGGAAGTGGCTTTTTAAGTCTTATTATAGAACTTTCTGACGTGCACAGAAGCAGCGAGAACAGGGCTGAGAGCCAAGGTGCACAGGACTCGTTTCTCTCTAGCCCCGCCTCGCCCGGCTACGAAGCGAATCCCCCCAAAACCGTCAATGCACGGTGAGAAAATAAACGGCATGAGGCGTACACCTATAGCGCTCTCTTATTCTGAAAAATGCCGGCCCCTGCGCCTACGTAAAGGACGGGAACCAAGTTCCTGTGGGAAGCGTCGATGCACTCTGGGAAGCGTCGACGCACCCTCTGCAGGGTCGCGGGATCTGGGCCCAGGCTGGCGTCAGCGTACCGGCACCCCGCACAGTGCTGGGCCCGGGCTGCGCACGCGCTGTCCTCTCCCCGATCTCGGGCCCCACCACCCCACCCCCCGCCTCACGGTTCTGGGACCGGCTGCACACGCGCGGGGCCGCCCACGCCTCCTTCCGGCCCCACCCCGCGCCGCGCCTCTCAGGGCCGGCGGGCCCCGGAAATCCCGCCCGACGGCTCCCAGAAGGCCCCGCGCGACCGGGACGCGCTCGGCGTGCGTCCCGGGCTCGCGCGCACCGTCTCCTGGCGCCGCCGGAAAGGCCCGTGTCTGGCCGCCATGCTCCTGTCCGCCGCGCTCCGGGCCCGGGCCGGCCTCGCGGCCCAATGGGTAAGGCTGCTGGCCGCGCGCTGCCCGCTCCCTTCTCCGCGTCTCGGCTGCGTCGCGCAAGGACACGGCGACCTTGGCGGGTCGGGCGGGGGTGGGGGTGGAATGCCTGCCTCCGTGAAGGTCAGGCCGCCCGGCGCCCTGGGGGCGGTCGGGGAGAGAGTGCTCGCGGGGAGAGTGCTCGCGGAGAGAGTGCTCGGGGAGAGAGCTCGGGGTGAGTGCTCGGGGAAAGGGCGGGGGTGCTCCGGCCCCCAGGGCAGCCTGTGCCGGGCTCGTTGCCTGCAGAGGGCCTGTCAGTCGGGGTGCGGCGGCCGGGGAGGAAGGCCCCTCCGGGGAACCCGCGGCGCGCGCCTGCGTGGCTGCCGGACTTCGGAGCGAGCCCTGGGCCGGGCCGCGACCTCCGGAGGCCTCTCCGACCCCGCGACCTTGGGATGTCAGTTTCCTCACTCGGTTGTGGAAAGGGAGTCGTACTTCAGTTCTGCACGGCTATTCTAGTCTTTCCGGAAATATTTGACATTCTCCAGTGGGTCATGCCGGGCCGAGCCCCGGGTGACGGTGTGTACAAGAGCATTGATGAGGTATATCGTAGGACGCATAGCTAACATTTCGCGACGACTTTTTGCATGCTCCGTGTTAAATATTGGGTCTGAAAAAGATAATTGGGAGATAGTACAGCGGAAGGGAGGGCTCTTGCCGTGCAGGAGGAAGACCCGATTTCTATCTGGATCCCCCAAGCCTTATCCTGAGCAAGAGCCAGGAGTAGCCCCTGAATTGAACTTCGCTCCAGGGGCCCGAAGCAGAAGATACCGGCTGGGATTGTCACCGGGGCAATCCCTGCCAGAAAATTTGGTTTTGTCTTACAGTGAGGAGTCAAGGGGGAGGGCGTTGTTGTTTTTGTTTGGGGGCCACATCCGGCGATGCTCAGCGGTTACTCTGGGCTCTGCACTAAGGAGTCAAACCTAGTATGGAAACGCGCGCTGGCGCCCTACCCAGCCCCCAGGAAGGGGTTTTGGAGGAGCCGAGGGACCTGAATGGTACTCAGGTTAGAATGGCTTAGTTTGGATCCAGAGTATGGCGAGGTGAACAAGATCAGGCCTGTCGACCAGTAGGAAGAATTGCAAATAAGCACAGATTTGTGTTTACTTCTATTTGAGACCGAGTGTAAATTGACAGTTCTTCCACAGTGACAGGCAGTAACCAGGTTGTGGAGAGAATTTTAGTCATTTTGTGGTAGTTAATTGCAAGTCTTTCCTATCTTGCATTCATTTGTTGTTCAATAAATACTGAACTGATGAATAAGTTAATTTTTATACACGAGTAATGTGTATGAAAAGCATAATATTGGGACTGGCAAATGAAATAAAAAATCTTAAACCCATCCATAGTTTCAACAGTGCGAACATTACCAAAATACTAACATTTAATATATGCTTACCTTGCAAATGACTTTTTTAATAAAAATTTGCACTGTGCCCTGTATTTTCCTCATAATATGTTTGGCCTCTTTATCAATGAACATTTCTTTTGGGGTAGGGGGTGGGGGCAACACCTGGCAGTGCTCAGGGCTTACTGCTGACTACACTTAAGGATAATTTCTAGCAGGACTCAGCGGACCGTAGGGGGTCCCACGGATTGACCCCAGTTGGCCTCATTCAAGGCAAGTAACTTATCCATTGTACTATGCTTCTCCCTAGTAAATATTTTTTAATTGGTTTGTTTTATTTCAGGATCTTTCTTGGTGCTGTGGGGAGGGCAAAGGGGAAGTTGCTCGTGAAGTCAATTAACCTGGACCCTCCCACAGGGGCCTGGCTCACTTTTAATGTTGCTTACTATTCCATTGCAAGGTTGTTCTCTAACATACAGCCAGCCAGGCCTTTTATCTAATCTTTAGCAAATATTGATAGACCAAAGAAAAAACTAGGAAAAGATATGGGTGAATGGGGGGGAAAGAGATGAATGGGTGCCTTCCAAGTCAGGAAGGGGTTAAGGATGAGATCCAACTAAAAAAATGCCTTTCCTCAAAGAAGCCTTAAAAGAAGCCATCTATGTTTTCCCAAAAAATGCCATTTTGTTTCAATTTCTGCTTTACTAGCTGGCTGTCAGTTTTTCAGCCACAAAGTTTTTAGCTCACCATTGCTTAAAAATATCCAGAACTTGGTACTGTTCCTGAAAGGGCTTGGAAGACCTAGAAATGTGACTTCAGGTCATTTCCGAATCTCTGCGCCTTGTTTTCACCTTGTAAAGATCAGTTATGTTTTATTGAGTATGTGTTAATAGTTGCCCCAACATTATAATTTATGCAGATTTTAAATTAGGCTTATTCCTTCCCTTTCTAAAGTTACTACTCTTGACTTTCTGTTACCATTTCTGTCTTATCAAGTCACTATTTTGTAAGCTTGTAAAGGGTTATGGCATTTTCAAGGATTGTGTTTTCAATTTAGAATTTTTATTTGGATTTTTAATAGTTTTATTTCCACTTTTTTATTCATTGATATCGAACGTGATCATTTTGTTTGAAAATGCTCATTGTTTTTATCTTCCCATTTGTTTTGTTTTTTTTTTTTTCAAAACGTTGAATTATTTTGTATTTACTGGACAATGTGATCCATATGTTGTAGAGGCTCTGGGTTTTGTTAAGTCTTTTGAAGACTGTTTTGTTGTTTCAGGTAATTAATTAAATAGAACTTAAACTGCAATCCAATTCCCTATTTGGCAGCAGCTCAGTTCTAAGTATAGGCTCATCATCCTGTCTGCCTCTTTTGATTATTCTTTAGTGCTTTCGGAGTGTTGTTTGTTTTTGTAAAAATAGTTCAGAGTTTATAGTAGTTACCTGTAGTTGGGCCTGATAACTAGCCAGCTAGCCTAAAAGTAGAAACTTGGTAGTCTCTTCTTTTCAAGTTTGAAGTTTTGTAAAATGAAATATTTTCCCATTGCATTAAAGATTGTTAAATCTGATTTTGCATGGTCTCAGGCTTTCTCCATTTTGGCTCAAGGACTCCCAAGGGAGTTTTCTCTTAAGTATGTGGAGGGATACAGGAAGTGGAGAGCACAAATTCATATTAACGTGATATTGCTGTAGCAAAGTATAGCAAACTTCATGACATAATAGCACACAGCTGTTAGAACTTTGCAAATTAAATGCCGGAGATGGATTTCACTGGGCTAAAATCAGATGTTGGTAAGTTGGTGGACATGTTCTCTCTGCAGACTCAGGGAGAGTCCATTTTTCTGACTCTGAACTTCTTGCAGCTGTCTTGTTTGTTGACCTAGCTTTTTGTTTATAAACCAGCAAGTGTAGATCAGGTGCTCCTAACATCACTCTGCTTCCATCATTTGTCACGTAGCCCTCTCTGGCTTTGTTACCTCTTCCACAATTCAAACAACCTTGGGTTTACTCTTACATCCTGATATTAATATAATGATGCTCGTCTGCAACTTTCTGCAATCTTAATTGAATTTTTAATAGTTTTAAAAACCTTTTAAAACTATTAAAAAAAAACACACAGCTTTTCTGCTGTGTACTCTAAACTGCAAACTACCCAGAACAAAGATGTGGGTATCTTTGAGATACCATTATTCTGCCTTCCACAGCCAAAACTGCATAAGGGAAACAGAAAACAGTTTCAGGTTTGTTCAGTGAGTTTCAGTATGCAGTGTACACACTTCAAATTTAGCTCTTAGTATTCAAGGTGTGAATGCTGCCTCTTGTTTCAGTAGAAGTAGATGAACTCCTTGTTCTGGAGCATTGTTTAGTACCAGTCCAATTATTATCTTGAGCAGCCATTTACAGGTTCACTGAACTCATTGATCTGGTTTTCCATTAGGGAAACACCACTTTTTTGAGTCAGGTCAGAAGGCAGGTTATTACTCCGTTTAGGAAATTTATTCAGAAAGCATTAAGGATTTACTATGCATGAGTGTACTGTTTTGAATTGGGGACTGAGAAGGTGACTTTGTGTGTGTAGGTCCTGAGAGTCATAGATAGGTCTTGGGCTTCACATTGACTCCAGACTGGGTTGGCTTTGAACCCCCGTGGGAGGGTCCCTGGGCCTTCTGAGCTCTGTTTGGGAGATTGACACCGCCCCTCCTCCCCCCAGCACTGAGCTTACACCTCAACCCCCAAATAACTGACATTTTGGCTGTCTGAGTATGGGATTGTTCAGAAATGGAGAGTGAGGAGGAGTAAATTACTCAGAGGACAATGTGGGTAAAAAAGACTTAAAGAGGCTGGAGAGATAGTACTGCAGGCAGGGTGCTTGCCTTGCACTTAGCTGACTCAAGTTTGATACCCTGCATGCCATATGGTTTCCCAAGCACTGCCAGGAGTAATTCCTGAGCACAGAGCCAGGAGTGACCCCTGAGCATTACTGGGTATGACCCAAACAACAAACAAAAATCTACTTAATTTCAGAATAAACAAAACAGTATTGTTTCTAAGGTGGTATAGTTTCATGGGGGTGGAAATAGTTTAAAAATTAAGAATAATGTCATGTTATATTTAAATGTTAATCTAGGATTGGAATGGTAATACAGCTGGGAGAGTGTTTGTCTTGCATGTGGCCCACCTGGGTTCAATCCCTGGCATCCCATATGGTCCCCCGAGCACAGCCAGGAGTGATTCCTGAGTGCAGAGCCAGGAGTAACCCCTGAGCATAACCTGTGTGACCCAAAAAGCAAAAAATAAATAAGAAAAAAAGACTTTTTAAAATGTTAATCTTATAGTACCATATAGTTCATATTGGTACATGGACTTAGAAGGAAGTTCCTTTTTATTATATTCCTTAGTCTGAGTATTTTCAGGGACTGGTTAGAAAAGCACATTTCCTGTTCTTGGAATCACCAGCATTTTTTTCCCCATCTTATTTATTTATTTGCTTTTTGGGTCACACCCGGTGATGCTCAGGGATTACTCCTGGCTCTGCACTGAGGAATTACTCCTGGTGGTGCTCTAGGGACCATATGGGATGCTGGGAATCGAACCTGGGTCTGGCCACATGCAAGGC